TAAAATAATAAATCACTTCTAAGCATAAAAAATACCCACATATTTGAATATGACATATTTGTGTTCAATTCTTCCAAATCAAAAACTTCATTCTAAAAATAAAATGTCACTCGGACTGCAATCTCTCAAACGCATCTAACAACAAAAAGGGATCACCGATTACTTGACCAAATGATTTATGACTGCTGTCGCACACAAAACACTCGAACAAAACGTCTGCCGATGCGCTTAGATATTTTATATTTGAACAAAACGGAAACCCTCACATACGTGACACTCACCAAAAGGGTGCCTCCCGATGTGTAGTCTGCATTCTTGGACGCCGCCATTGCCAAGAAACAGAATCAAGCACAGCACAGCAACAATGCAAATCACAAATCGCATAATGCAAAAATGAAAAAGTGGAGAAGAAGGCCAATGTTAAAGCGTTAAAGCTATGGCGTAACTACAACACATTGTGTGTGAGAATACAAAAATAAAAAAAAAATATCACAAAAACAATAAGCAAACAAGAAATTGCAAACAAAAAAATATACGCCAAGAAATACACTTAAATAACGTTGCATAAAGCGGCGAAGAACCACCTCAGACTTGGCAAGCGTGCAGAACTTGTTGAAGAATGCCACAGAATCTAGGTATGACCATTGACTAAAAGTAAAAGAAAAAAACAAAAAAAATAAACACACACACATAAACGTAACTAAATAATAATAATAGATAACAAAAGAAAAAAAAGTAGAATTGAATGCGAGAAAAAACACTCAAGGTCGCACGTCGCCCAACGGCGTTCCGAAAAATAAGCCTCGGCCTACAGCTTATTTGCTTGGCCGCTACAGACGTCTGCCGCTAGTCTGCATACACACCCAAGCACTAGCACTGCAGACTGACTCGCTGCACATTCCATTGTTCTTGTTCTTGTTCTTGCTGATGTGCTGTTTGCTGCTGCCTTTGTTTTTCAGCCATGCTCAGCTGCTTTATGGGCTGTGAGATGCAAAGAAGTTGAATGGTCAGCAACATAATCGCCTAGCATTATCAGCGGCTAAAGCCAGAGCGCGCACAGATTGTATTGAGCTTGAAAAATTACCATCCTGCCTCGAGCTGCTATTGCTACAACACATACATACATACATATGCAACACATACACACACACACACATGCGATAGCACATTTGGTTTGGTTTGGTGGCTTGGTATGTGGACTTGTAGACCTTTACTGCTTTGCACCTTTGAGTGCGCATTGAGGTGAGCTGCGCAGCCGCGTCGCTTAGCTAACTGAGGGTTGTTTTTAGGTGCGTCTGCAGTGTCTTGGTTTCTTGTCGTTTTCTGCATATTTTCTTTTATTATTGCTGTCTCCATTTTTCTCTGTGTTTTTGCCATTACCACCAAACGCAATTTTTTCGCATATTTTTTCCAGTGCATGTTTGTGGTCAGCAGCTGCTTGCCTGCCATTGTTGCAGCTACAATTTTTGCATTCGCAGTCAGTCTGCATATAAGTATCTGTGTGTATGTTCTTCGTTTCCAATCACTCAATTGTTCTGCGATTTTTATCTCGCCAAAGCAATTTATCACATTGAATGAATGTCTGCAAAAGTCTAAAAAGAAAAATCTTTTCGCGTTTGTATTTGTTTTTATGCTTAATTGCAGTCACTTTGAGGCCTTCTTTGTGTTATTTTATGGCTAAAAGTGAATCTGAGATTGCACTCCATGGTTCTACAAATAATTGATGGTTCTAAAAATAGCAGCTATTGTTTGGATTTAAATGCTATAATAATCAAAAGTTTGTATTTAAATCGGACTAATGGGAAAAAATGAATAAAAACTCAGCTTTTAGTGCAAGACATTTCTTAAATCAGGTTTCAACATTAATTTGATACAGAGCCACTCGACAGCGAGCAGAGTTTCTTGCTCGATATGCCTTAAGGAAATATATATTTTTGTTTCATTGACAAAAAATTACGGAGTAAAATGTAAAATGTTTCGAAATTCCTTTAAAAAGAACATGCTAAAATATTCAATCGATATCGCAAATATTGGGTAGTCGAATCTATTGATATCAACATCTCTTGACAAATATGAAAACACGTTTTCTACTACCCAATGTATATGTAAACGTAACCGTTACTAATGTTAATTGCAAGACACAGTATAATTTATTATTTATATTTCATATTTATTTAACAATTTAAAAAAATACATTTTAATCAATAATTAAAAAGAGCTAAAGGCATGCCTGCCACCGTCGATCGGCATACTTGCACCCGTTATAAACCTAGTGCTGTCACTAGCTAAGAAAATAATAGCATGGGCTACTTCCTTTGGTTCTCCAACACGACCAAGTGGATGCATTTCCTTAGAACGCACATAAAATTCGTCAAGTTCCGCCGGCGATGAGCCAAGACTTCTATGAATACCGGTCACAATAACGCCCGGATTAACAGAATTTACACGTACATTTTGCGGCGCCAAATCCAAGGCAATACATCTAGTCAATTGATCCAGTGCTGCCTTCGCGCTGCAATAGGTGGACATACCACGGTTAGAACGCAAACTTGAGACGCTAGAGACATTCACGATATTACCCTTGCTGCTGATCAAGTGTGGCGCAGCAAATTTAGTTAAAAGGAAGACGGAACGCACATTTGTATTGAAAATTCTATCATATTGATCGACATCAACATCCAATATGTTACCAATTTCAAAAATACCCGCGTTATTGACCAGCACATCCAATTGTCCAAAATGGTCAATTGTTGTGTTTATAATGCGTTCCGCGTCCACCGTGACATCAGCAGCGATTAATAGAAGTTTAGCTTTGTTGTTGACAGCTTTACAGGCCGCTTCTGTAGCCTTCAAATTCGCTTCATTTCGTCCTATGAGCACCACTTTCGCACCTTCCTTGGCAAAAGCCTCTGCCGTCGCAGCACCAATGCCCGAACTCGCTCCGGTTACAATTACAACTTTGCCCACTAAACTCATGGTGAACTGTACGAACTCGCGGCGTTGAACGAAATGTTTTGCTGTGAGCAGCGCTAATACTTACCGAGGGTAATTTACACCTTCACATCTTATCACCTGGCTTTTGAAAATATTTATTTTTTGCCAACTTTATTAATTTATGAAACTGTTAGTGAGTCTGTTACTTGATTTTATAAGCAAATATTACGTGCTCGCCTAATACTCTTAACATTCTCTATATCTTTTGAGAAAGTATTTATGAGAACTTTCTACAGATGAAGTGATTGTTAATAATTTCTGTTTGTTGGAATATCTTAGGCGTATTTGATATAGATAGTATGAGTACAGTGCTCATTCACCAGTTACGCATACAATATCAAAAGATCACTGTGGGAGGGACGACGTTCGTTTTTTTAATTAAAAAGATTAAAAAAAAAA